TTCATTAATCCTGCTGGCCGTTTTCTTCCATGATAAATTTTTTGAAATGATGAACAATCCATTAATGCTGGTAACTCGTGATAATGCAACATATAGAAGCTGCTGATTATATGTTTTATTGTATTCATATACAATTTTATCAAAAGTACCACCTTGTGATTTGTGTATTGTGAGTGCACAAGCAGACACTAAAGGAAAATGATTTCTTTTGACAAATATGATTTTATTTCTATTCATTGGAATAGATGAAGATCTCCTGAGAATCGGCACAGCTGTCCTACTAATATTAGGAGTTTGAATATGATGTGCAGCTTTCTTCTTATTTTGTTACCTATCTTACCAGGAAATTCAAACCATAAACGTAGAAGTTCATCATTATCGCCACGTTCTATGTACACTAATTTTCCTACACAACCATTAGCTAAGCCATCACTTACATCAATATTAGTTGTTATAATGTAAAATTTATTCAGAACTAAAATTATTTCATACGGCAAACCCGCGGTATCAATAACCGATTTTTGTGAAACTGCTGACGAATGTATGATTGTTGATCTGTCGCATGGCAACCTACATAAATATCCGTGGCAGTAGATATTATTTTGTCTTCAACGAGATTCAGTATAAATTTATTATATTCCATGACACATTTATTCTCTAAGAAAAGTCTTATTCCATGAGGACATAACATAAAAAACATGATTCAATTAATGCAAGTTCATATAGGGTTTAGCGCTCGACTTACGCATGACATGACGGGAGTGGATACTCGCGACATCAGCGCTTACGGCGTCGTAGTGTTCAACTACACGTTGGCATTTTCGTTGCATTTGTACGGATTTACACCCGTGTAGCCTAAAGAAATTTTTACACCCATATCGCGCCTAAAGAAGTTTTACTTCAAAAATAATTTGTATATTTGCTAAAACTTTTCAAACCTGCATTTCATATGATCTTTATGTAATTCTTATAAAAATCGATACAAAAAGATGTATAAAATAAGTATGTATCTCAAACGCGTGATATAATGCTATTTCACTTAATTCTAATTCCAATCTTATAAGAATATAACAGCAGACAAGAAAACAGTGTGAAAAATAAATGCAGTTTGTTTGGAAAGAGTTCTTTATGAAGCATATAAATAATGTATATTTTTAAGATAATTAAAAACTAATATTTCATACGTTCTTAATATAATCTTTATAAGAATCGTTATTGATACTAAGAGGTCCATAAAATAAGTATGTATCTCAAACTCCAAAAGTGATTCAATTTTACTTAAAATGCGCTGGGCAAAAGTGTTCATAAAGTTTATTAATTTATTTAAATTTTTAAGATAATGATAAATAAAAACTATTTATTTGCTAAAACAATTCATACGAACATTTCATATGTGCTTAATATAATTCTTATAAGAATCGAAAATCGGTGCAATGTGGTTCATAAAATAAGTATGTAGTAATTCTAATTTCAATCTCATAAAAATCTAATAACAGAAAAGAAAACTGATTGCATAGAGTGTGAAAAACAAATGCGGCAAAAGGTGTAATTTATTATGAGAAAGCATGCAATTTATTTGGATTTTAAGATAAAGCGGCATAATTTAATTTTATATATTTTACTTGATTCCAATTTGAATCTCGTAAGAATCTAATAGCAGACAAGAAAACTGTATACATAGTGTGAAAAAAATTTCAGTGCACTTGGAAAAAGTTGCTAATGAAACTTGTTATAAGGTAATAAATATAAACAATTTATATAGTTGCTAAAACGATTCTTACTAATATTTCAAAAATTTTTGATATAATTCTTATAAGATTCGGTGTAAGGTCACAAAATACTACCTCTGGTAAAAACTAGATAAAAATGCTTTTAATAAACATAATTAACCATACATTAAATAAAAATATTTATAATATATGTGTTAGTAAAAAATTAGTTTTAGAATGCAATAGAAAACATTTGAATTAGTTATTAGTTATATAAAATTAGTTATATTTTTATTTAATATAATTTAGTTAAAAAAGACTTCTAGTTTATTTTAATTTAGAATTCGTCTCAAAGTTAAAGAAAATAATCTACACAAGTAATTAAATGTATCTACCTGTTGATTCTCAGACACCTGTTTAAATAGAATTTTATTTATCCATGAAAATACATCCAAGACAATAATCACTTAAACTGCGGTGTATTCCCAATTTAAACTTTAAATCACTTAATAATAATCACTAATACAAAACTCAATGCACTTATCACCATCAAAAAAATAATTAAAATGTTGTAGGGATGCTGAACTCGGAGTAGAATATATTGATAAAAATTTAAGAAAATTAACAATTGATAGTTGTCGATTTAACAGTGTTATAAAATATTTTAAAATGTATATTATTATGATCTTCAGAAACGTTCAAGCATTTCAAAATAGGGCTCATTGACTGCCCATTCGAGACCATGCACATACCACTGCATTCGTATCAAATCGGCGTCTCTCGTTTGCTAAGCATACAGTGCATGAAATGTTTCAAAGTTTATTTAAGTGAAATTCTTGGCTAATGTTTCATTGGTATCTTTAATAAAAGAATATAATATAGACTTAATTAATAATAATATTTTTTTATTATTTATTAAAAATCTACATAGTCGAATAAATTCTGAAATCAATCAAAAACAAAAAAATATATTTTTCTGTTCATTCATTAATTGAAAAATGTAAGTTAAAATTGAGGTAATGAGGAAATTAAAAATAATATAAAAAAATAGAGAAAATCAAAAATCTTAATAAATGTAAATACTCATTGATCAGAAGTATTCTCAGATTTTTGTTGTAAAAAAATATACAATTACAAAAATACACATCAATCCATTAAAGTCCATAGGGGAAGATAAGAAAATTGATTTTTATATGCATACATTTAATAATAATTAATGATAATATGATTATTATTTATATTTTATTAACCTATCGCAAAGTTTGTAAAAACTCTCATTTTTGTTATATAACGAAATAATATAATAATAAATATAAATTTAATATAAAGATCAGCTGTTTCCCTCATAAATTAATCAATTACACGTGAATAATGAAGTAACTAAATCACAAGAAAAAACTGAAAAAAATGTTATTAAATTATGTTAATTTTAAAATAGACTGCAGAAACCAAAAATCTTAAAAAAATTGATACATTTATAGATATGCTTCACAGATTTTTATTTTAAAAAAAAATATAGTAAAAAGACCAATCAAAGCATTAGAATCATTATGAAAATACAATACAATAGATTTGCAAATAAATGCCATTTATATTATTATTGAAAAAATCATCAGAAAATATAAATACAATATACAATATATAGAGATCAACTTTTTCCCTCAAATTAATCATTTTGACAGAACTAAAACTATATCATAAGAAAATTTCAAAATAGACTGCAAAAAAACAAAAATCCTGAAAAAAAATTGATACACATTGATATGCTTCACAGATCATTATAGTAATGAAATAATTGCAAAAAATATACATACAAAAAAACATTAGAACCAATATGAAAATACAAGATTGACTATAATTGTAATATTGACTTTTATATATACCATTAATAATACAATATCAATAAAATTATATTAAATGATATTTATATTTTAACAAACTTATCGCAAAATTCATAAACTCCCATTCTCGTTGATATAAAATATATGGAGATTTTTTGCTAAATTTAATAAATAAAACAAAAATTATAAACTTTTAAAAATCTGAAATACTGTAGTGATTGCATCTCGTGCAAACCCTTGACAATATTAGAATATAATAAATCATAAATATGATAATATAGTAAACCTTGTAATATAGTTTTAAATTTAAATTATATATTAAATTAAAAATTAAAATTGCTCAACATTCAAATTATATAGTAATTATTATGCAACTCTATCAATGTTCGACGGGTAATTTCAACTTTTGCAAGATGAACAGAAGAGTAAAAATAAATCATTTAATTTTTTTTATTCATTCTTGCTATATATAATTCAAAATAACATGTTATTGATCGTATAATTTATTTTGAAGATAATAACAGTTTTGTTGAAATGTATTCATATTTTTGCATACGATCAACATTTAGAATTTGCATTTTATTCGAAAGAAATATGTCCAATTGATAAATATAAATAAAAAAAATAACATAATATAATTGATATAAGAACTATTTTTTACTTCTCTATTTATTTTTACTTTATCCCAATATTTATTTTACCTGAAAAAGGTAAATTAATAACATATATTGAATATACTCAGCTTAAATTGAAAATAAATATATATCATTATTTATTTACAAGCCGTCAGTATAATGGTATGATAATAAGCTCATGCCAATATTTTACAAATTTTAAATATTTTATTTAATTAACAATTCAATAAGTATAGATACTTTTACAATATAATTATTTTGTTTGACAAATTTTTGGTTATTTTATGAGATCACTATTTAGTTTAACAAATTATTGAACATTTTAATATAATATATAGTTATCGCGGTGACATCGGTTGAATGAGGAAAAATTATTAATATAATTATTAATTTACTTAATATATTATTAAGAATACTCAGGAACAATTAGGTATATACTAATATTAATTTACATTTATTACAATTACATACAATTATTTATATACCTATATTTATATACATACTGAAATTATTAATTTTATGTAATGAACTGGATATATGCGGCAAATCATACTCATACTGCTCTACATTGTGCAGAGCTACATAAAAGTTTGGAGTTGTTTTAGGAAACAATAGGTGTTTTTGCGTTCATAATTCAGTGTTGTTTAAATGTTAAATGTAATTATATCTAAAATACTACATATTATTTATCTTATAAAAAGTCTTTTAAATTGTAGTTTTTAAGCTTAACTCCGCCACTGCCGAATTAACTGTTTTTGACCGAAAGGCGTGACAACGTTGACTCGATGACCGACGATTCGAATTCGCTGTTTCTGTTGTTGTGTTATTTATTGACAATTAACTTGTGACTGAATTTTGTGTCGTGTTTATTTATTTATTCAACTTGTTTTATAAATTTAGTTGTTTCATTTGAATTTTTGTTTTAAATATTTGACGACGTCATAGTTAATAGGTAATTAAAGGTTAAATTGCCAAACACGTAAAACTATTTAGTAGAAATGGGCGTTAACAATTATGGACTTACACGTTTTTGTTTATTTCTAAATTAGGAAACATATTGTTATTTTTTATATTATAGGTAATTTGTAAGAACCGTCTTTTATTTTCTTAATTACTAATAATTTATTATTTGTGTAATAGTGATGTTTACATTAAGCCCTCATGTGCCCTCATGTTTCTGTATATTTTTATATACAGAAGAAAAATAAATAAACAATAAATAACAATAATTTATTTTTATTCCTGGAAATTAATTTATTAATTAAAAATTATTATTTAAAAATAAAACATGTGTAATATTATAATATATAAACAAAACATATATATGTGTAATATATAGTGCTGTCAATGTATCAATTATTATAATTATTTACAATTTGTTTTACAGAAATGCCTGTCCTAGAATCTTGTTGGTCGCCATGTATTTGGTCGAATACAGTGAGAAGTGGCAGTTATGCTGTTGCTGTTTACACGGCAGCATTTTCTATAGTTTTAATAACAATGATTAGTTATATGCTAGCTGGAGGAGATTCTACACAATTATACAGTCCTTTATTTGAAACAGATGTCCGTTATTGTAAGTATTCCTTCAATGAACAAAATTTTAATTCACATGATTTCGATTATGTTAATACAAATTTAATTTTCTTATTTCAGCCATGCAAGTTGTGGGAGGTTTTTTTATTTTTTACCTACTATTATTATTACTTTTTTCTGGATTACTTGTTATTGGGATACGAAAAGGAAATCGTGGACTAATGTTGCCATGGATGACTTCATTTGCTTTGATCATAGCATTCCAATTAATTTTTGGTTTGTGGCTTTTAGGAGGCTATTACATATATGTAAGAATTGTTTTTTAAGCAGTTTTCAAATGCACATGAATATGTTTTTAACTCGTAATAATTGTTATTTCAGTTGGATTCGGTGTATGCAACACTTATTGACTGGATATGGATGGCATATAATGTAAATTTAATTTTTATAATATTTTGAATTATATTATATTTTAGACATTACTATAACATATGTCTATTTTTCACAGATTTACTGTTGGTTATGCGTTTACTCACAATATCAGATATTCAAAGCAATGCAATCGCCTAATATTGAACTACTGTGGCCTTAAAAGAAAATCTAACATGATTGACTTCAAGTGTTCATTTATTATATGTCAAGATAAATATTTTTTTTATTTATCAACTGCACAAATAATTTATTTGTAAATATTTATATATATATTTACAAAATATGAAATTGCAATATAGTTTTAAAGTAGGTATATTATTTGATAAACCCACATGATGCTACGCTTCACAGATCTTATAGTTATAAGTAAAATGATATCAGAGATATCAGCTATTGAGTTACAAAATAATCCAAATAAATAATCCGTCCATTTTAAATTTTAAGCACGTAGAACATATTGTATTAAATTATAATAAACCTGTAGATATGTTTCTGGTTTTATTTGGCATTGCAAATAGATTCAAAGTGAAAATAAAAGTATGATTAAGTATAAAAAAATGTTTGAAAAATTATTCAGGTTCATTCTTGAGAACCTATATCAAGTAAATGTGTAAAAAATAATATTTTGTATATTTGAATATAAATTTTAAACACTTTAATGTAGTATAAATTTATTTGTATATATATTTTTTCCATATAAATATATAAAAGATTTCCAATAAATATTTTTTTATAAAATTTTCTGAATGTTTTGAATAATTTATAATATATTAATGCATTAACAATTAAAGATATCCGTCTTTCTAATAATTCACATATGATACATTCACACTTTTGAGGTCATAAATAACATCAGATCATTCTATTCACCACATTCATTAATACTATTATCATCATTTGATATTTTAATAGTAATACTGGTCAAGTTATTATAGTAATTTGTTTTATACATTCGAAAATTGCAACATTAATACTGGTATAATCAGTAAAACACCACCAACTAAATATGTCAAAGAGCAACCAATACTCCAAAATGCTAAAAAACACAACCAAATTAGCACAAGTTTTATTATTTACATTTTATGCAATTTTACCAATTGATGCTATAACAGGACCAACAGCCCTAGCTAAAGCTCCTAATGATCGGAACACACCCATAACTGTTCCTTTTTGTTCAACTCCTCCATATCTGGATGCTAATGACATCAATGATGGAACAACAAATGCAGTAGCTGATAGAAAATTTTACATTATATATAATACATCAACCCAAAATAAATAATCTACTAAACAATAAACTTACAAACTGCAAATAGAAAAAGTCCAATGTATAAGAAATAAATATGAACTATTGGAGACAATGCAACAAAACCATAAGCGGGTACAATAAGCCAAAGACCTGCAACTGCTGCAGATTTTAATTTATGTTCAGGTACTCGTCTCACAAATCCTCCTTGGAATATAGCCATTATTATGCCTAATTATGAAAATATATAAATTACTCTCAAAATATGATAGAACTATTAACAAACAAAGAAAATCTCATACCAATAAAGAAAAACATTTTTCCCTGTTGCATTGAACTGTATCCAAATGTATGATGGGTTAAAAATGTGAGAGTAAATTCCAGTCCACTATATAAGAACAGATATATAAAATAAACCAGACCTAATCTTTTTAAATTGTCTTTGTCTGTTTTATGTAATGCTGAAACAGCAGTAAATTTGAAAAGTTTAGGTATGCTAATAAGATTTGTAGCCTGTGATAAAGTTGTTACAGTAGCCTTTGAACGATGTTCCTATAAAGTTTTAATTTCAATGATGATTTTCCAAAAATACAAACTTAGAAAATAAATAAGTGTATAATACCTTTGGAAGTGTTTCATTAAAGAACACTGCCACAAACAGAAGATCAGCAATCGATAATAAAAATGCAAATACAGCTGGGTACATAAACCAATCCACATTTGTTTTGTCTGTCAATTGACTAAATAAAGCTCCGATAAGAGGTCCAATAGTGAATCCTAAAGAAAATGCTATACCCACCAAAGCCTTCAAATGATATTAAAATTATTATAAGTAATAAAAAGCCTATTCACTATTTCAACTTGATTATTTTACCATTCCTTTTGTCCTGCCTTTTCCACTAGACGCATCGGCAATTACTGCCATACTTAAAGAAACATTACCTTTGCTTATGCCTCCTATAAATCGAGCTAGTATAAACAAAGCAAAATTTGATGACAAAGCCCAAACAATGTAAGATATCGATATGCCAGTCTAAAAATTCAGTCAACAATGAATTATTTTGGTGATTGTGTACACATATAAAAGAATAAAAATCTTTTTACCCAGACAAATCAACATAACAGGTTTTCTTCCATAAACATCAGATATTCCTCCAACTAGGGGGCTAATAAGAATTGAAGAAAACTAAACATGGAACCTAAGACAGACACCGCCAAACAAGACTGAGTTGAACCTTTCTGGAGCTCCAACAAGATTTTGAAAGGTTTTTATGTTATCTGAAAACCAGCTATATAGAGACCGATAGAGTCATGGACTCTGTAGAATTCCATCAGCGACGGAAATAGAGGCAATATTAGTGTAAATGCCAACAAATCAAGTAGCAAAGAAAAAAATATTATATACAACAGCTGGCGACGTCGTACTTTCTGTACTTTTTGATTTTTTTCGGTAGATACTTCATTATTGTTCGAAACTTTGATATATTTCTACGTTTTATGTCGGTAATTTTGTCCATTGTTAATACGTTAAAATTTAATGAATAAAAAGATTATGTACGTATTAAAAATAAAACTATTTGTTCATAAGCTCGCACAATGTGCACTGGGCGCTATTAAACTTTCTCTTATCTGCCTCATTTACATACTTTTACTTGTTGTTTTCAGTGGGTCATACTCTAATTTTTGGCATTTGACATTTAAATGTTACCAAAGTCTTAAAGGGCGTTATAATCTCTTAACAAAAATTCCGTTAACTTTTAGACATTTAACATTTTTGATCAGAAAATTTATAAATGTTACAAATTTGCAAATGTTGCAAATTCAACATTTTAACATTTGTAGCGTTTATGCAAGAAAAGATTTGAAACAACAACAAAAAATTCACAGACAAGTTTTTGTTCGAAGATGCCAATCTACGTTCAAAATAATTTACCTATCTATGATATTCAATGTTTATCTGTCATAATAAATCATACAATTAGAATGTTATAAGAATTTGCGTTACTTATATATTTATTAGTAACTAAAAGGATATTGTATATATCAAATGAATAATTTGGTTTAAATTTCTAAAATGTCATCTTTACAAAAAGCAATGCTGAAAAACAGGCTTCCACCAATGCATCCCATGTAAATACTGATATATTTATATAAAAGCGACTTAACAAAAATAAAATAGAATAAAAATGTAACTTAAAATTATTTGCACCCTCAGAAATTTATCTATGCTAATACTAAAAGTCATTATATATTTCCAGGTTACTTATTTGTGACTTAAAATAAATCCTACTCTGAATAGTTTCAATTTTTTTATATATACATTGATCTCTTACAATAAGATTGTTTTAAAATCAATTTTATTTTAAAGTACTAATCTACTTTTATATTTTAAGGAATAAAAGAGATCTGCATGGAGGTCGGAAAAGAGATTATACTCCTGTACATTGGAATCAATATTTTAACAATCGAGATTTTGTCACTACAGAAAGAGGAAAATTTTGCATATATTTATCAGAACCATCAGAAGTCAATGATTCTCCTTTAATTGTCATGTTGCATGGTGGAGGTTACTCTGCCTTAACTTGGGCACATTTTTCAGTTAGTATTTCTCAGCAAGTCTTTATAAAATAAAACAATAATTGTTCGTAATTGAAAAAAAAAATTATACCCATTATAGGAATCAAAATGTTCATTAAAACTTTATTAAATAATCTTTTTTCAGACATCTATCACTGAATTAATTCACTGTCAAACACTAGCTATAGATTTGCGAGGGCATGGAGAAACAGAAACAGCAGATGATAAAGATTTATCAGCTGATTCATTATCTGTGTAAGATTTAAATATAATATTCAATCTAGAATTTCTTTCTATTTCCAAATATGTAATTTCAATGCAGAGATGTTGCAGACGTTATTTTACAACATATGAAAGATAAAAATGTCAACTCAAATGTCTTCCTGGTTGGACATAGTATGGGCGGTGCTATAGCTGTACATATAGCAAGTCAAAGACTTCTTGACACCTGCTTAATAGGTAGGTAAAAAAGGATCCCATAAAATTAATTCATATTATTCTAAGAACTAATGTTGATTGAATAATTTGTTGTTTGAAGGTTTGTCTGTAATTGATGTTGTTGAAGGAACTGCTTTAGATGCATTAGCAAGTATGCAAAGTTTTCTAAGGAGCAGACCATCTCATTTTAAAAGTGTTGAGCATGCAATCGAATGGAGGTATTATAATACTATAATTTATATTTTATATATGAAAATAAACTCTTCTAGGAGTTATTCACTATTTTATAATTTTAGTGTGCGTAGTGGGCAAATTAGGAACTTAGACTCTGCTAAAGTTTCAATGCAAGGACAAATTATCAAGTAAGATTATTTTAAATCTATTAATAACACATGGTTCAGTGGTTCTTAACATCTAAACTTGATCATTGAAATAAAAGTTCTAGAATATTTCAACTATTGATGTATTTCAGTGTAAAAACAGGACAGTTGGCTTCCTCAGAACTATGGAATAATCCTGAAACTACAAAATCTAGCACTCAGGATGATGTAATAGAAAGTCTTGGTGAAAAGATAAACCCAGATTGTATTTTGGAAGAGGAACATGAAGATAATGAGGAATTAAACAATACAAATGCATCAAATTTCAAACCACCTCTACCACCAGAACTGCAAATCTTGGATACAAAAAAGTATTTACTTCCAGTAAATTTTTGACTATTTTAATGATTATGAATATATCAACCAGATTCAGAAATTACATTCACATAGTTATTATCTAATAATATTTACAGATACAGTTGGCGTATTAACTTATCACAAACAGAACAACATTGGCCCGGGTGGTTCAAAGGACTCTCTAACATGTTCTTAGAAGTGCCTGTACCCAAATTACTGTTATTAGCCAGTATAGATGGCCTTGATCGTACCTTAACTGTTGGACAAATGCAAGGTTTGCACATTGCTTTCTGCAAATATTAGAAATATGAACTTAGCACTTACTTTTAGTTTGGTTTACATTATTTTCTTTCAGGCAAATTTCAAATGAGAGTACTTCCTCGATGTGGACATGCTGTACAAGAAGATAGACCTCATGAAGTAGCTGAAATAGTATCAGAATTTTTAGTCAGGCATAAATTTGCAAAATTGAAAACTGATGTACAAACAACTGCTGTGATATAAGAAAAGAATTGATTATTCTCAAATTATATTGATTTAATTTGAGTCTTTTACAAAAGAGTTCAAATGCAAAAATTTATTTCGCTGAAAATGTTGTAAATAGATGAAATATTGGAATACTCAATATTAAATGTAAACTATATTTCAAATATAAATTTAAGTAAAGCTCACCAATTTTTATGTCACACCAATACATCTGTATTGGTTCCATTTTAGAATGCCAGATTTAAAAAAAAAACATTATCAATCAAAAGAAAGTTTCACTCAATATTAAAAGTTTTAAATATCTATTAATTAAGATTATCCTCACTATATAATTAGCTTTTTGTCACTATATATAAATAATTTTACAATGATTACAATTGCAATGTAGTTAAATGAACACATTACTTGATTGATTGTATAGCACATAAATTAATATTTCACTTCACTGAACTAGTAACACAATTGTATATTTTACACTTCATATAAAAAACTGTTTAATTATAATCCTTGTAACAATCACGATTTAAACAAAATATATACCATCATGGCGCCAAAAATGTAATTGCTCAAACTCAACGATGAGTTCGAATGTACAGTAGCACCAACATAATGTGAAAAAAGTGCATCAAGCGCCGTTTGTGGTAAAAATGTGAACTTCCAGGGCGTGTTTGGCATTTGACAGTTATTTTGTTTTTATTTACATGGTTATGTTTACTATAATTATTTTAAGAATTGTATTTAAAATATATTTTTTTGAATGGTATGTGTGGGATATTTTAAATATAATTCATATAATTTAAAAAATATATTTGAACTAGTGTTTAAAATTGATTTTTTTATAACTTGAGTTAGTGAAAGTAGAGCATATTTTAGTGACGTTAACATACATTGAAAAGCAGTGGGCTTAAAAGTTTTTTAACAAATAATAATACTTTATGCATCAATCTGCGTAATTTGGATAAGATAATATTTTATGTCTGCATTTGAAGTTCTTTATTCTGAGATACTTCTTTACATGTAGTTATTATTATACTTATAATGCATTCCTACAGACGTCGTAAAAAGCGACCTAACTATGGTATACGAACTGTAGAAGTAGCCAGAGGGCACAATGGTTTTGGTTTTACAATTTCAGGGCAACAACCTTGTATTCTTTCTTGTATTGTTACTAATTCTCCAGCTGATAATGCTGGATTACGAGCAGGTGATTTTCTTATTTCTGTTAATGGTTTAAATGTTTCAAAACTACCACATGATTCAGTTGTGCAACTAATCGGGAATGCAAGTGGTACTATAAAAATGGCAATAGCAGAGAACTATTATTCTGACAGTTCAGATGAGGAACTTATTAACTCCATGGGATTTATGCAAAAGACACACATATAAAACAACCACAAAGGTTAGATCACAGCGTCCAGCTAGAAGCTTGCCTAAATCTGTAAATGATTCATTATTTGTAAATTCATCTCCTTTGTCAGCTGACATGAATGATGATTTGAGTTGCATGAATCATTGTCGAGATATTTCAAATGTGAGCGCCATAGTGTATTCTCCTTCTAAAGTTATTCCCAATTCAATTTTAACAAGAGAAGATAATGTAACTTTGGACACATGTATATCCAATGAGGATTTGGATACAGCCATTTTAGAATATCATGTCTTTGTTGGATATTTAGGTACAATAGAAATGCCAAAACACATTATTGCAAGCTCAAAACTACAAACCCTTCGTGGTTGCATTCGAAGATTGCGCCAAGAAAAAAGAACTCCTGCTATTGTTTTAATGACTATACAACCATCATTTCTAACATTAAAAAATGTAAATAATAAAATACTTGCTAAATATCCTGCTAGCAGATTAAGTTATGTAAACTATAGTTCAGAAAAAGACAAAAGATTCTTTGGATTAGTGACCAGTGCTATTTATGCAAATGGTGAAGTTTGTGAAATAAATGCAAATATTGATATAAATGCCATTCAAAACAGAGCTTCAAGTAAAGATTGTAATATTGAATGTGCAATTAGTAACGACGTGATAACAGTATCTAATAGTTGCCATATTTTTATGATTGATACTAAACTAACGGATCATAATAAACATGTGGCTACAGCTTCAGCATTTAATGTATCTTGCACTAAAGACATGATTTCTAATATTTGTTTAGAGTTTCCCAATACTTCTGAATATATTGTAAATATAATCCAAAGCATGTATAATTTGAATATGTGCTCAGAAATTGCAAATTCTCTAGAATCTGGCAAAAATAAAAAGATCGTCAATGGAACAGCAAATGGTCAAGATGTCTCAGAAATGATGAGAAATATAAGGCTCGATGCCAATCCAAATGATGATTTGCATCACAATGGAAATGATTTTGATGCTAATTCTCCACAACCAAGTAATCACAGTGAAGTAACAACATCTAGTAATAGTGACTCTGGAATAGGATTTCACAATGATTGTTCTAATATATCAGACAGAATTTTAGTAGTTGACTTTCCAGTGAACTTAGGTTTAAATTCTCAAAGAACTAACATGTCTGTATCAAATAATCGTCCTCAAGGAATTGATGGAGATTCTGGTTTTAAACCTCGGCAATGTTGCAATATTGACTCTGATAGAATTGTATCATATGCTGGAAATTCTCTTAATTCACAACCCAGTACATCAGAAGAAAATGCAAATTACAGATTGAATGTTAGGGCAATGCCTAACTTGAATGAACACGATAAAGTAAAAGATATTAATAATACTCCAGAACGCATTTATGAAACTGTCTATTCGCCACGAAATTCGCGATGCTCATATACAGGATCAACTGGAGAAGAATTTGATACATTCATAGGGCAGCCAGTTGATGTTTTATGTCACAATTTTGTAAACTTTGAAAGAGGGAGTACAAAAAATGTATCTCTATCAAAATCCCAATCTTGCTATAATATGGAGAAATTAGTCAAAGATCCAATTGGATTGTCAGTAGATAACTTGTCTACTTACAGTGGAAGAAATCACTTGCTGCTTACACCTACAATGAAAAATCAGACAGATGATTCCAGTTCTGAAAATAAACTTAAAAATCAATTCTTAGATCCAAACATAATGAAATCTTATAAATCCTATAAGAAAAAGAAACCATCGACTTTTAAAAAAGTTAGTACTGATGGC